CTTAAATGTTTTTGAGTAAGTATTTGCTTTTGTTAATTTTTTGCTTTTTCCCTTTTTTGTTATTATCTTTTGTCACAGCTGTCTTATGAGATTTATCCATCAAAATTGATTGATGGTATAATCTGTCTGAATAGACTTAACTATGTTCGTATGTTTGTAAACAAACTAGTCTCTCAACTTTTGAGATATTATATTGCAACCTAACCTGGTATATTTAAACGATCTTTTATTAAATTGGACCACTATGACATATAAACGACTGCATTTTTGAAATTAAGGTTCAAAAATGCATCCTAAAACGCAAAATTCGGATATTCAACGCACTGAAAATTATCAGAGGCTATATACATTTAGCTCCCGCCTGTTCAGATCTCCCTGGGCGTCTGTGAAACTGTTGGCATTGCATTTTTTCAAAATTTAGATTCTGTAGTATTTTCGTTTTATTTCATACTTCTTATAATTTTAAAATTTTTTATTGCTTATTTAAACAATTTCCATAACTAACGATTTAGTACGACTTGCCTTTATAAATTCTACCATTCAAGGCGAGTCTGGATGCTGCGTATCTTGTTCTGACTTAACGGGAAGAGTTATTGACTCAATTAACGATGACAAAGGTATTAGACATTATCGACCGATATTAAATTCTACAAACTATTAAAAAAGATCTGTGATGGCATTATGAGAGCATGTTCCACTCTGTTAAATGCTTGAGTGAATCTCAAAACGATTCTAAGCCGTTCAATAAGCACTCCGCTACCAGTTTAGGAAAAAATTTTACTTTGTTCTCACCTTCTCCAACGTACGACTAATTGATGCATCCTCAGGCATTTCACAAGCTAGCCACCTGGGTCCAATTAATTTTTGCTATTTATTAACGTTTTGTATTAAAAGGGATGTTATATGCTGATGATGCAAAGCCATATAAATCATATATGTACCTCAATTGACAAAATGTAAAACCATGTTATTCTCAAAAATATCTTCAACCACCATCTTACACAATAAACATATAATTGACTTGAATGGATACTAAAATTAATTTAATCTTTATATTATTACCAGTTTGTTAAAAGCAACACGTACCTGCTTTTGGGAAGCAATAAAAAATTTAGAGAACCTTATATTACGAACATACCCTTTACTTTAGGGAGTCCAATATTGGAGTACGGTTCGGTGGTTGGAATACTAGTGATGAAGTCCATTCTGGTAAAACTGGGTACGATAAAGTCTTACTACGTGCTGGGACTTTGGAGCATGTGAGTCTATTTTTGCTACAAATATTATCTAAGTTAATGTGTTAGATGTCTGCACTTATCGTCCTAAGGCCTGTATGCATTTTTGTTTTCAATATTTACAAATATTTTTCAATATTACAAATATTTTTGTTGGCGTATTAATGAAAGACAATCAAATAAGTTACACAATTTGTTATTTTAATAGAATTTATAAACAATCACCTAATTTACATATATTCCTTTAGTTTTTTAAGGCACTGAAACTTAAAATACTAATAACTTCGTGAAACTGTTTTATTTTAATCAATTATTATTTATTTGGCATTTAATGATGGTTATAAAGGAATTTCTTACTAGACTCAACACGATTTTGGTGGTATTAAAAGGTTCATAACTTATGCTGTTTAAGAGATTTCATAATTTACTGCTTGTTCACGCTTGGTTATTCACACTACTACTCTGTAATTAGCTGATATTTGTGCGCGTAACCTGGAAGCTAATTTCCAATATTCCTAACTTTGTGAAACAAAATGGAGTGAAAAATTCAAAGCTATCAAACGTTTTCAGAAAAATTTCCGCGATGTAATGGAAGCATTGCAAAGCTTATCACGATATGGCAACGCTGCAACCCGATATAATGATCTCCTGGTTTATAACGCTGCTTCCAGAGTAACATTTATTATCAGTCTTATTCTAAATGAAAATTCCCCGGAAGATTTCTCACTTTTCCCTTTCCTCATATTTTAAACAAACTTTGAGAATAGAGCAAAATTTCCCGTTGGACAATCAAAAAAAGCAAAAAAAATCGGAGTATTTCAATATTCCATGAGGGTGTTTTTTCACAAAGAAATTGGGTGGTAGTTTTTTTTTTAATGTAAGTATTTAATAAATGTAACACAAATAATCGTATTAATGGTTTCTTTAGGTCAAAAATGGATGGAAACTCAACCGGCTATATCCCTATTATTTCTTAAAGGTACCAAACAGAAGTTCAGAAACACGACAGGAGGTGGCCCTAATGCAGAGGGTAAATTGTCTCCTCGCGAAGGGATGAAAAAGTCGGTGGAATGGTTGCCTGCGAGAGAGTTTGTATTGCAGGAGCAGGAGATATTTTCCCTGGTCCAGAATTCTTCTACGTTGAAGACGAATTCGTTCCCATTCTTGGACATTTGCTTCAGGACCCAATAGATATTGTACCATAATTCTAATTTAATTTTTGTTTTCAACAAATTATGAAATATCAATAATACACAATAATATTAAGCAGCTCATTTCGAAAGAGAAAAAATCTATTCCCAAAAAATCATTCTCACTGCGCACTCTGAAATTTTTCTAAGGGGATTTCCAAATCCACGAGGGAGAATTTCCGCGAGAATATTTAGAATAATATTCGAGTACGGTCAAGGCTTCGCAGCACATAAAATGCATAATACAACTGTTAACAAGGCATTGAGATGCTCCTAATTACATAGCGGATGAGCATTAACGCAACGACTGTTGCAGAGAAATTCGGGATACAGGAAGATATGACATCTTTTCCTCGTATAGTTGCCATGGAAAAAAACCAAATTGATGAGAATAGCTCAGAGTATTGGAGGCGGTCATTGATTATTCCTTACTTGAACTCAATTATTAGCACACTCGAAAATCGATTTCCCGATTTATCAATCATTCATCATTTTCTCTGTTCTATTTACATCCGGCAAAAAGGCAAATAATGTCAGCAGACTCACTTTTAAAAACTTTCGAAATAATTTTTTCCCATCAAATTTGAAGAGCTTTGAAGGTTATAATCGCATTACCGCTTTACCGTGTACAACTTGTGCTGAGCGATCATTGAGCAGTTTAAGACGTGTAACGACTTGGCTGCGAAGTACAATGACATAAAGTGCTCTTAATGGTCTGGCTTTGATGAGTGTTCAACGACTCCTAATTATGGAAAACTCGGAAATTTTAGTAAAAGCCCGAGAAAGTTATGTTTGGTTAAGCTTTGTTCCGTTAAAAAGACAAATTTTAGTTTAAAAAATTATTCGTTTTTATACCCTTCACTAAAAAAAAGTTGAATTATAATTCTATTATTTGTCTGCACCCTGGCTAGCCTGCCGACGGACCAGCAGTGAAGTTGGTAAATTTCCTTTTAATAGATACGATATACTTAAAATTTTGGTCCCACATAAAATTTAAAAATAAAAACAGAAAAACTTACTGTAAAAGTGGTAAAAATAAGTACGGCTTATTGTGAATTACGTATTACAAAAAACTGATAAGAAATGAAGTATGTTGTAAAGTAAATTATACATGTATATAATTTGCGATTTGTAACTGCTGAAGCGTTTTCCTTCAATTTGTGAACGTTATCAAAATCCCAGCCAAAGCTGCAACCCTAGTACAACTAGGGTATCTACTGTCAATGCATTAAAATATTGATTTATAAAACTTGGGGAAATGTTCAAAATACTACCAAAGAGACCCGTCCTACTTCAAGGGAGTCCTTTCACGTTGCTATCTCACTTAACTTCTTAACTTGAAACAAATTTATTATTAATTGTCTTGAAGCCTCTAAGTTAAATAGAGGCTGAGATACAAGTTATTGAAAATGAGTTAAAAATCTATTTTTTTTAAAAATTCAGAATATTTTTTAGTGGTCGAATTTGGTCATTTCGTGGTCATGTTTCAACATAGATGGATTAAAAATATCACGATTAATGATGTAATGATAATGATGTATAATTGCTTGAAAGTTTCTGCAAAAACTTTGAACTTCTTTTTACCAAGCAAACAGTGACGCCAATGAACATTTGTTTAATAAGTAAGTCCCTCTTGAGGTACTTTCTCTCTAAGTCGCCTTCCTTTACTTACTTACTCAGGGATCTAGAGGTGGTAATAATCTTCCTTCCTTCTATGAATATATTACATCCCCACACTTACGAACCACAGGTGGGCTAGGCGGGACGAATACAACCAAACAACAACGCAATGAGAAAAATCTCAACCCCATTGTTAAGATGTTTGCGATGGCACGAAAAGCAGAAAAAAGCGACTGGCGGTTGGCAAGCAACTATTAGAATCTCGTAAGAGATGTTTATACAAAATGAGAAGAAGCTTGAGCGATTTTCAAGTGAGCTTCACCGCCAATTTGGGGTGTACATCTTGATGCTTTCTAACAAATTGAGCTACTTTCAGAATATTCTAAACAGCATTTTCATGAGGAGACTTTATTTCATGTCCGAAATTCACTCCAGTGGCTAGACATTCCCAGTCGTGGTGCGAATTAGGACTCGAAGCCTGGCCTTTCGAATGGCAGTATGGAATGCTAACCACTCGACTATTGCGGCCCCCGAATTACAGCCAAATAATTGAATTGTAAGATTGTTATCATTGGGTATCACATGAATTCCGAACATAATATGGAAGCGTTTTCTAAGTAAATGTTATAGAAGTATAAGTCAAGTGATAACAACAGGGATACTTTTCCCCACCCCTCGGTAGGGAATGTCAGGCCCTCTGACAAATATATAAAATCCCTGGAAAATAATATATATCTATTATATTTTACATTATACGTATATGGATACTACAGAATATACTAAAAAACGTTGACAGAAAAATTAAAGTGAGCAATCAAGGGAATGTACATATTGTATATAAAATCGTAAACGGCTAATCTATTTACAATGGATAATTTTTAAAATTAAGTTTAAGTACTTGCTTTTATATTTTAAAATAATATTTATAGAAGTTGTTTATTTTTACCATACTTACATTCTTCGAAAAGCGGGATCTTCTGCCTTATTTCCAAATATAGATACCGTGTCATTTGAGAAATCCAAAATATTGGTTGGTATCCATCCTTCTTTGCAATTATCACTTGATCCAAATAATCTAACATACCACCTGTTGAAAAAAATATTTAAAAAACACTGTGAATCCTTCACTCAAATGGATGATGTAATGTCAAATTGCTATTAGTGCCTTGTATACATACCTCGAATTCAGCTCAGGCTTATAATCACGTAACTTCCCTCTGTAATAAATTAGTTTTAGGAAATATAATCCTGAATTTCCTTATGTGACTTACCGCGGAAAAGTATCGCCTTCCATTGTTTTTAGTACTTCCACTAGGTCTCCTCTAGAAAGTGATATGGAATCAGGCGAATCGGCTAAAAATTCCTGATTTATGACTAGAATATTGTCAGCCTTTAAGAGAAAAAAAATATTTAGTATTAGCTAACCAGTATTACGATTAGAAAAAGCTTATGCTACTTTATTTAATTGTTATGTATTATATTTTATTGGCAGCAGCAGTCGCTGGAGTCAGGGAATCATAATAAATAAATATTTTGCAAAACGAAATCCAAACAAGAAAATAAGATCGAAAGGCTTGTATTATGTTCGCTGTTGCAATTGGTTATCCAAGGGAAGGGAAGGGAAGACTAGCAATCTTACGAAATCGAAGTCACGGAGGAATACGGTACAGACTCTGTACTACAGAGCAGGTGAAGAAGATTCAGTAAGGGAACAGAGTTTTGGGACTCCTGATACATACATTGCAAACAAGCACACGTTCGACTAAAGATCAGTTGGTAGCAAAGACTTATTAGTCTCAATGGAAAAGCTAATATCCGAATGGTCGCAGTAAAAAGCACCTACGCATCAACAAGACTCTGCAAAATTAAAACTAAAGTTATACTACATAGGTTGGTGGTCAACAATCTATAAAAGATTGGATTGGTAACTTCAAGAAATGTATCTCTACTGAAGAACCGAAATCTGGTATTCATGTCCAGAGAACAAAGTACAACCCTGACATAAGGGTAAATGGCAGAGAGACTTCTGATGTCCTGAAAGCGAAACTGAGAGACATGAATGAATCAGTTGGACAGAAAACCCAGACTAAGAGAGGCAAGACGAAAGTCTCAATTAATATCTATAAAGTTCAGTAGTTTATACTTCTCAACAAATGAAATGCTTCTGAGCTAAATTCAAATATAACTGAGAAGGTCCATATAAAGAAAGCTATGAAACTGCCAAATGGACCAAGATATGAAGGAGGTCCTTTTGGAGATAAAAAAATATGTTGTGAGCTTAGCATTTCTCATGCTGTAATGATAGCAATCAGTACAAAAAGTTGTAAGTGCGTAGTAAGTTTTATATAGGAGTACAGAAAATGTATGATAGTGAAATTTGGTCATTTTCGTTGGTAAGCTATGCTGATATACAGGAGGCGCACAGAAGTTTGAATATACAAAACATCTGTTGTTCTCAACCTTTTCTCATCACATTTTTTCTAAATAAAAAATTTGGTGGCACACTATCAATTATACATCATAAATTAAAAGAACGCTCAAGGTGAAACAACTGTTATACCTATAATACGATATATAATATTTTGTTAAAAATAGCATACCATTATAATATTCAAGTGAATACGTAAATATAAAATAATAAATTGAAAATAATGCTAGAGTGCACAGATTAGATGGTTTTCCTATCCGTGCATGGCACAAAAACAAAACAAATGCAAAAAATATGCTGCGATAGATAAACTATTCTCTACCCAAACCTTAGTATATTTATTTCCAACAGTTTACATAAAGAAAAAAGCAACCCTGTTTATCTGACAGTTGTTTGACTTGAGTTTGCTACAATCTTACAACAAACAGGGGTGCTCTCGTTAAAAAAAATGTCCTAAGGAATACTTGCCTAACAGTCATTTCATATACTGGAATATCCTTTCATAGTCTTTTTACGTTTTTATGTTTGTCAAAAGGGGAAAATCCGAACTCGTACAAAAATGTGTTGAAAATTGCAGTTACTTACATCGTAAATCTTAAGCTACCCTCAGTTTTGGCACAAAAACTCTAAATTATGATAAAAAAAAAACACATAAATTGAATAGCGAATAGATGTCCTTCCAAATATGGATTATAAAACGGAGATTACACCGAATTCAAGTACACCAAGCTGCAGCTAACGACGACACTTTTCCTTTCCCTAGAAAAACGGTTTAATCGAATAATACATTAATTCTTTCAAAAAAAAAAAAAAAAAAACATAGCGCTTGTCCCTACGCAACGCCTTTCTTCCTAACAAAGAAGAAGTTAGGAGAAACCAGAATGTACATTGATTATAGAAACATGAATAAGTGAGTTAATCGTGAGTTGTCCTCTCAAATAGAGATTTGCTTACGCGTACCTTGGTTTAAACAAAATTTTCGCAATTCTGGACCTGAGTTTAGGATTTTCTCTTTTCTAATGGGTTGGGGAATATCTAATCCCAAATCAATTTTGTATATTTTCTTATTTTATGGCGGTCCATATTTCTATTTAAACATACTTCTAATGAATATGACATTGTTTAACCATACACTTTCCATTTATTAGTATATACAACATTAACAGTATGAAAAGTTTAAAAGTTGGACACTAAATATAAAAATCACCACTGAGCACAGTAGAACTTCAGTCGAAGATGAATAATTTATTATTTATAAAGAAGTAAGATTTAAACTAGTTTAAGGCATACAAATAAAGCTATGGTGGACTTTTAACATTTTTTTTGGACATAAATGGGCATATAACATGTCTTGTCAATCTGGTAAGGTCTCTGCCTCATGCTCTTTTGTTTTCTTCTTCGGACACTGTGTAATAACCTACCAAAGCCGTTAAGTTACTGATCCTTCAAATAATCCTAAACTAAAACTTCAATTCACCTTTTTTAAAACAATAAGTTCAATTAAAAAATTGTTTTTCAATTTTTTCTTTCAATTCAATTTTATTTGTTTAATAATAGAAACTCAGTTTAATTAAAATATGTAATTAAAATCTAAATTAAGAGATTAGTTGGCCTTTAATTAGCTTTACATTTCTTTGTTTTTCGCTTAAACACCTGCTCGCGTAAACATATGCATAGGCATGTGTATGTATAGTTATATATACATATGAGTATGTAAACATATTTCTATTTCTCTAATGTTATAAATATTTTATACAATATAAATATACATTTGAATATACCCATTGTGAAAAGAGAAAAAACGAACACATACATGTATGTATATGTATGTGTCTTTTCATTCAAACTGCCGTCTCCCGTTGATGATACCAACAATTCGCGATGCAACTGGAAGACTCACAGTGACTCACAGCCAAACTGATGCAGCTTTAAAAGAAATAATATAATAAATTTCATTTAAAAATTAAATAAGTTTTCCAAAACTTATATACATTTCATTTATGCTTTAATTTATTTATTTCATTTATTTATATATGTTTTTTGTAAGTAACAAATAAACAATCTTTACTATTAAATTGTATCTAACAGCGAAAATGATGCAGTAACAAAAAAATTAATATAAAAAATAAAAACTAAAATTCTACTTTAATTAATATTTAGCATTATACCCTTTGCTGTCTATGACTGATTTCATACGTTTGGGCATGGAATCCACCAACTTTTTCGTGTAGTCATGAGCAGTTTTGTTCCATTCTATTTGTAGGGATTATTTTAAGTCAGCTTGATTTCGTATCTCATATTTTCGAATCTCTCGTTCCAAAACTGACCACAGATTCTCAATCACATTAAAATCTGGAGACTGCGCTGAGTTTTGTACCATGTGCGGATAGTTCCAAATAGGCCAACTTTGCACAACGCGTGATTTGTGTTTCGGATCATTATCTTGATAGTACCGAAGCTTGTCATGAATATTTAATTTTGAGGCTCTTTGCAAAATATTTCTGTTTTAAATGTCCAAATACACAGTCTTATCCATTGTACTACTGATGAAATCCAAATTTCTCACTCCATAAGACGACATGCATCCCCATACCATTACAAGCCCTCCACCATGTATTACAGTGCTAAATAAATTTTGCGGTTGTAACGCAGCATTTGGTTTTCTCCATACATAGCTCTTTCCATCTGATTTAAACCAGTTGAATTTACTTTCTTCCGCAAAAATTACGGTGTCCCAGAAACTTTCATCTTTATATAAATGGTCCTTTGCAGTCATCAGCCTGGACATATGGTTTATTTCGAGCTGTGCGGCCATTGAAATCAGCTTCCGTGAGGATTCTTCGTATAGATTCCTTTTCTAAGATATTTTAGCAGTTCTTTTCCTAAAGCTGGAGCACTTAAGTGGGGGGTTTTCACGTATTTTCCGTGCAATCCATCGGGAATCACTTTCGTTAAACATTTTATTATGAGCCGTTTTAGTTTTATTTAACACACGACTTTCACGAACATAGCGTTCGATGGTTTGATGAACAGTTTCTTTTCTCTATTTCACCATTTCCACGATTTTCCGCTGACCTTTACCATCTTTAATGTTTTAGGATTAATACGCGCACTTCAATACTTGTTTGGCGACCCGTTTCGATTTACACTCAACCAATGTCAATACTATAATGTCAAAATTATCTCATATTACACCAAATTTGCTCGCGATTATAGCGGTATCTATTTTGCATTCAAAAATCGTCGAAAAGACGCCACCACTAACTATAAATCTTCGTGCATCATTTACGCTGTGAGGTACAATTTAATACTGAAGTTTGTTTTTGTAATAAATTACGTAAAATTAACATGAGATATACAAGTTTTAAAGCATAAATGAAATGTGTTTATGTGCCGTTATTAACTGGCATTCATGTTTTTTAAGAAATTTATTTAAATTTGAGATAAAATTTATTATACTATTTCTTAAATAGCTGCATCACTTCAGCTGTGAGCCACTGTATGTATTGTACATACGTTTTGCATGTTCATATGCCTGTGTTGATCGCTTACCCAATCGCCCACTCGTACTGGGGGGCAGCGAGTGGGTCTAATCAAATGTTGAAGGGAACTCTAACATTTAGGAAAATTCAATAAAATATGAATGAAGTCAAACTAAAAATATTTAGGAAGGTCATAAACTCAATCCCTGACGCACTGAAATTTCGTTTACAAACTACATCAAATTCATTCATAATTAAACAGCAATTTATATATAGTAATTAAAATAAAATCGTGTCAAAAAAACTAATTAGCCTAACCCAAAAATAATTAGAACATATTGTATATATTGTACATATATTGTATATTGTATATACGAGTATACCAGAGATGCTCAAAAAACGCAACGATATGATTCCGCTTCGTTAACAAGAAAAATTAGCTCAACAAAATGAAATCGCTTCGTTTCAGCGCCTTGTTAT